ATCTGCCTACAAGAAAATCTGTCACCAAAGTATACCAATATATATAGGTATGAACAAGTGATATTATCACCTACACTTCGTACCTGAAAGAGAAGCTGTACAAATTATTGATGAATTTTATTAACTGCAATAGTTGATTACATGTATCCAATAAAAGCATGACTATTTTTTTTAAATCAACAAAACATATTTATAAACTAAGTTAGCTAAGTTTAACTTTTGTTTTAAACAAGAAATATTAAGTTTTATTTTATTTGAAAACCGTAAGTAGTTCATTTATCTTTACATATTAAGCTTACTATTCCCTATGTACCTTCTTTGACTTGCTGAACAAATATGTAATTGATAATTCAGTAAACTTTTCTTTACATGATATTCCTTTCCTGTGCTTGGTGATGAGTATGTGAGAAGTCCAGACTCAATGAATAACCAAAACAAAGTGGAGAAAATTGGTCAGTTGTGGTTGCTAAGGGATAAAAAAAAAACTATGTCAATAAAAGTAAATGTGTACTGCATCAAAATTTAATGTTGCTGGATTTATATGAGACACTCGAATTTAGCAGTATAGTGCAAAGTTTGCACCCCTGTTGTTGCATAAATCATATCTTAGAGATCATATGACCTTTTACCCATAATTGCCCATCTGTGTCTAGAGGAAAGAAAAACTTGATTGTAAAACAAGATTTTAGGTAATTTATTACAGTGTAATTTTTCTGATGTATTGGGAAATCATATAAGCATTATTACTCTAGAAACAAAATATTTATATGGCCTAATATGGTTAGTATGCCAGACAATGAATCTGGGGTTCGTGGTTCACATCAACTACCAACAAAAAAAGAAATAAAAAAATTGTGCTCCATATATTGAATTTGTACTATTGAATTAGAGTAGACCATAGGTTGGTGATGGATGCTGTTGATTAGCTGCCTTTCATGTAGTCTGTCAGTTCAAAATTTGTGACAGCCAGAGCATATAGCCTTTGTGTAGCATTGCTTGAATATCCAAAACAAACATAAAATACATATTATAAATTATGTTATTGTAACTAACACCAGAACATTGATATTTAACATTGTTGGCTTGAGCTTGTTTTTCTTTGTATTGTTTTAATTTATGAAAAAAATATTTTGTTATTTACTGAAACTAATTTATTCTTAATTTGATAATATTTTAGGTGTTGGTGGTGTTGAAGGTGATGGTGATATCTATGTTCCTGAGAATCTCCGAGAGTTTAGAAGATTTGTTATGGAGAATACTGATGGAAGAGGGCTTCATTTTGTTATGGCTGATGGAGTAAGTTTCACTTTAACTGCTATTTATATATGATATATAAATGAAATGTTGTGTGACAGATAGTTTACACTTTAATTGGTATGTGTACATGTGAAAATGAATGTTTAGTGAGGAACAGTTGTACATATGTATATATGTAAGTATAAAAATGCTTGTTAAGAGTATGCTATAGATAAAATTTAACAGCTGTGTCTACATGTTGTATGTGTAGAAATGTTTATGAAGAATAGGTTATATGTGATTTAAATCCTTTGTATTCATGTATAAGTAGAAAATATATTTAGTGCTGAATAAACTATATATATATAAAATATTCTGTATACATATAAACATACAAAAAATATATGTAAATAATACACTTGCATTTGTCTGTCCATAACTTTTCTCGCAAGTGTCTTGTGCAAACGCTACAAATCTCATATCATTAGAAAGGCCTTTGTCTGAGGATTTTGTATTACATATTGGCTTTCCTATTCAGAATCACTTTACATGTTTTTTTGTTTAGTCAAACTTTTTAATGCAGGAGAAATAAGTTTTATCGATATGCATTAAATACATCTGTGTAAATGATATGCTTGTGTTTGTCTGTTCAGAACTTTTCTCATAAATTTCTCGATCAAACACTACAAATATATCACTAGAAAGGCCTTTGTCCGAGGAGTCCAGATTGCATGTGGCTTTTCGACTCAGAATCACCTTACTTGTTTTATGCTTATTCAGACTTTTCAATGCAACGAGTATGGTACATGATGTCACACTGTCATTGTCATCATATGATGACTGGCTTCAGTTTCAACTTTCGATATGGTACATTACTTCTGATCACATAAATAGA